ACTCTCACACACACACACACACACACACACACACACACACACACTCACATATACACACACACACACACTCTCACACACACACACACACGCACTGTCAGTGAAGGAAGTGCCTTTAGATCTGATCAACTCAAACAAACACTAAATAGAGTGTGATTACAGTGCAAATATTTTTCATTTCTAGTTTTTATATGGTCACGTGACCTTTGACCCATCTGAGAAACTGACACTGCAGTTTGTATGTACAGCTGATGGGCCTGACCTCTGACCTCTGGAGTTTTTCTCAAGATTGTCTCACTTTAATCTTGATCTGGATATTATGAGAATATTGTTGGTTAAATTTCTTTCTTTTTTTTTGGAACAGGGAGGCATTATTGTATTTATTTGCATTAGCAGATATTTATTATATCGTTTATGACCAAGTGCAGAATAGATTTTCAGACCAGCATTGAGCCTGCCGATTGGTCAAGCTGCTTGTTCTTCACGATAGCGACGCCTCATTGGTCAAATCCTTTGGCACTTTTTAAGTAGAGCACTAAGTATTTCCTTTCTTTCCTAATCTTGGGTCCAGAGCAGCAGATGTTGATTGACACCCAATTGATGAGTTTTTTTTACTTTCTGTGAACTTTGGAAGATTAAAATAGTCAAAATGGAATATCAATATGAAACTATTTGTATTTATTTTATATCCCATGATGTGGTTGGTTTTCTATAACCTTATCAAACTCATAAAGGGCAAAAGTCTGATTTGGTTGTTGATTGCCAAATCTTCATTGAAAGTGGTTTTGTGCATCACATTGAGTTTGAAAAGAAAAAAAAGTGTGTGTAGTTTTCATGCCTTATTAGTTTTTTTTGTGTGACTGAGTTGTGACCTGATCCATTTGAATTAAATCTTTATTATTCTTTATTATTTGTTCTCATTTTATTTGGTGCCTCGCAGGCGATATAACACATACAGCTTATTCACACATAAACAGAACAAAAAAAATATAGACAATTATTTAATAAATCAACTGACAGTGGAATGAAGGATCTCTTAAAAACGTTTCGTTGCTCTGTACTTTATAGCGCTTCCTAATGGCCGTTAATTCATTAAACAAGATCATTGTGAGAGATCATTTACGATCGTGAGATGTGTCTGTTCATTATTCTACTGTTATTACTGGCTCCTATATTTCCAGACTGCACAAAATTATCATTTTTAAACTTTCTAAATCTTTTTTAACTGATGTTGGGCAGTTGGAGATGTTTTCAGTGTCAGTGTTTCATCAGATCTCCTTTGTGTTCAGGTTTAGGTCACATGAGTGCATGCATGTTCAGAGTCTTGTGAAGTTTGATTGTGTGTTTTTTCTGAAATCTTTTCTAAAGATGCAGTGGTTTGTGTGTTTTAGCCCCGCTTCCACCAGCTGCCAGACAAGACACGCTTTAACGCAAAAAGCTATGAAAAATTTCTAATGCTGTTTAGTAGATATATTTATTTTAAAATAATTTCAAGAAACAACTGTACAGACAATAAACATTACCACAACAATGCATTTGTGCATAGTTAAAAACAATTTACAAAATGTGAACAAGAATACAAATAAAAATAAAAATCTGTAGGACGACGCTTGTATGATTCAGTTTGTGCTGATTGAACATATTTCAGTGCTTTAGTTCCTGTACAGAAGCAGATGAATCCCACACGCTTCATGTGTCAGATTCTCCAGCGAAGTTCGGATTGGTGAACGCAGGCTGTTAACAGATTGTAAAAAAAGTTTAAATGCAGAAAAAATTTCTATACTCTTTGCTGGCATCGAACACGTTGAACACACATGAAGCAGTTTTCTCTTATTCAGGTTAAACACGCACAACATGGTGGGTCACATTGGGGGGAAATGAGACGATCACAAAACTTACCACATCAATATTCTTGGTTTCGTGTTTGAAGAAGCTGATATCTCCAGGTTTTACGCCCTTCACACTAAAGATGTAGTACATCACAGCCAGGATCAGCGCTGCGCAGGCGATCGCTCCGATAACGGCCCCCGCGATCAGACCTCCGTCCACTGCGTCACAAACAACAGCATCAGTCACAACAGCACATGAACACTAGTGTGTGTCAGTAAAATCAGTTTATAAACTCACTCGGTGACGGGTCAGTCGGGATGACGATCCCATTATCATCGGTCACGTAATCTGAAAACAAGAACATGCTATTAGAAGCAGGTTCAGACAATGTGGAATCGGTTCTTAGCCAGATCTGGAGTGTTGTGAGTTTGAGATATGAGCTGTCTATCTAAAGGTGTTAGATCCAGAGCTGTCCCCGCTGTTCACTCACTAAACATTAACTAATGACCTGGTGCCGGCTCGAGCACTGTTTGAGAGTTAAGCGTGACGGAGTGTGAATGAGGTGAACCTACACTGCCGGTGTTGACACACGAAGCCTCTCTTCTGCACACAGTTGTTGTCGTTCCACGTGCCGTCGTGATACATCTCCACGCAGTTCTCTTTCCCCACGTCGCCATCGTGAACGGCTTCGTTGGGTTCTCCAGGAGCCCAGTTTGTGAAGCCCAGAGATGTCAGATCCGTCCAGCCCCATCCATCTACAACCACAATCAGCACATGATCAGCAAATCTGATCTGAAATCACACGAAAGGCCTGCAGGCGATGGATGAGGGACAGAGGGATCATCTGCGTACATGAGCGGTCTCTGGTGAGGCCGATCCAGACGTAGTGGTACTTGGTGTAGTTGATGTTCCTGATGAACTCCACCTCGGCTCGGCTGTGAATCGAGGCTAATTCGCCTCCGTTCACCTCTTGGCAGATGTGTCTCGCCTCTGGCCACGAGTAACCCACTTTTCCGTTATATGTGAAGTAGCAGTACCGTCCGTATGGCCACCAGCCCGGCAAACACTTCCCGTCTCCAGGAGCCGGCGTCGACGGCGGCTTTTCTGCAGAGAGATTGGAGATAGGCGTTTGTAACTGATATGAAGCGCTTGACGCTTGTCCGTGGCTTGGTCAGCTTTACCTTTAGTGATTTTGCAGATGTAGGGCTTGGTGGCGGCGCAGACCGTGTCGTTCCAGGTGCCCTGGATGAAGAGCGAGGGAGCATGCATGCTGACGCACCCTTCTCCCTCGTGATCGGTCGGTTCCCCCGGGCCCCAGTGCGTGAAGAACACCGGCCAGCCGTCGGACCATTTGTACGAATCGCTGCCAGCCTGCAGAAGAGGAGCAAGGCTTGAGTTCTGTTTAAAGGTGACATATCATGAAAATCTCTCCTTCACACAGGCCTGCTGAGCCTCCTCCCAGCTTTTGGGCTCTGAAACCAGCTTATAGCAGCTGCTGTACCAAGTGATGTATCCGGATGGACACGGGGTGCTGGTGGGCGGCGGGACCGGAATGCTGCTCGCTGCGGAAAACGGGTAAGAGTTGGGTTAAACTTCAAGTTATCTCAGAGTTAAGGGTCATCTTTGAAAAGTCAATTCAGGCTGAGAACTCGAGGCCATGACATCAGCGGCAGCGTTTATATAACTACACTTAAAATGAAGACACAAGTGAAGATGTCAGTACATTTCTTCATAGAGCACACCCATCCTCGCTCGTGGTCACAGTTCTCATCGTTCCAGCGGCCCGTGACCAGGTGATTATGGTAGATCGAAGCGCAGTGTTCCTGAGAGAAAGACATCAGAGATCAGCATCACCTCCTCTGCAGGTACCATCAGCTAGCTATATGTTTAAAAAATACTATATATATATATATATATATATATATATAAGTACAACATAACAGTAATTTCTCACCTGGCCATCAGCATTGTTTGGCTCTTTATCGGCCCAGTTTGTGTATAAGACCGGACTGACTCCATCACTCCACGCAAACTTCCCTTCATGCAGCCTATCAGATAAACCGATCCAAACGGGGACAACCAGATCCCTGAGATAACTAGCCACAAAATCTGGAGAGAGGGTCAAAATCTCACACATTGGGACAACATGAACTAGTGTTTCCTGAAGGACAGCGTTTGCAAGTTGCTGAAGGGTTATGGGTTAGACTTCGGATCTGACGTGACACTGTTGCTGGATATAGATCATTAAATAGATGTAAAAAAACAAAAACAAAACACAAACAAACAGAAAGCACGCCTAAAAGTGAAATGATCTTACATAAAGTTTGAATGGAGTTCAAAAGAAAGTTAGTTCAAAGAAAGAAAAAAGTTTAAAGGGGTCATATGATGCCCATTTTCCACAAGTTGATATGATACTTTAGGGTCTTAATGAAAAGTCTGTAACATA